ATTTTGCCGAGGAAGGTGAGGGCAGGAATTGTGGTGTGTAGTGTGTGTGAAAAAAGATTGGAAGCAAAACGATTGCGGGGAATATGACCCCTTAAATACATCCCGTTCGCGCTTGACGGTTTGAACGCAAGTTTGAACTATTCTGGCATGTTCCTCCACTCCCTCATCGAAGCCAGCACCCAAAAGTATCACCGAGACAACCGGAGAGCGACGGTATAGAAACAAAGTTACGTCACTGCGATAGAAAAGCGACATAGGCCACTTCGGGCTTTCTCATTCCTTCCATCGACCTGCAGCGGAGGGAGCTTTCATGTCTTCATGGGCGCTCTCCTGTATCAACGAGAAGGCCTGTTGTGTTGTTCTCCCTGTGTGTCGCTTCACAGGCTCCTGGTCACTGGAGACAAACATTTAAAACTCCATCTCAAAGCTCTTCGACATAGTCTCCATCATCACATTGATGGTGCAGACGATTGCAGGCTGCCTGGACATCTACGGAATCAGCATCAGTATCGGCCATGTTGATCATTGTGAAGTTCTGCCCATACCTTCTCGGTCCCAGTATTTAGATTCAAATCGTATGGGATAAGCACAGGTAGCCTGGCACTCCTCAAAAGCGAAGTAACATGCCCTGGCCTTCGGTGGGATGCAGCACTTCGTGACCCATTCCCTTTCCACAACTATGTAGCAGGCATAAGCGAGGGTCGCGCAGTTCATCTGACAAGCGGCGTATTCTCGAATCATCGACTTTTTGCTTTCAAGGTCCTTGTTGCGTGAATCCCATTCGTCTTGACTTTGCCGCGGATTCTTTCTGGGCAGTAGGACGTCGGATGAGACATTTTGATAGAAAGGTCCAAAAAGCATGTTGCCCATGGCGAAGTTCGCTATGGCCAGGGCTACCGCCAATGTCTCCGGCTTCATTGTGAAGTAACAGAAACAGAACAATGAGGGTTTGAGCAGAGATGGCTGGCGATGTGAAAGATGACGTGGAATGACCAAAAAGTGATCATGGATTGCCCAGTTGTAATAGATTCTTTCCCACGATCGCTCACACTTAAATACCTATCTTGTCTTAAATGGATGGTGGGAGGCGCAGCAAGGGGAATGCATGTCTTGTCGGCCTCCGGCAGATGAGATCGTTAGGTGGCACCAACTTGGGCGGCTGCTGTGCCATAAAATTGCAGCTCCAATTCACGTAGTCCTCTCCACTGTGTATTTCAATCTCAAGCAGGGAAATCCGAGGAATCACTGGTACGAACTCATCTGTTTGACCGAGGGTATCTGGTTCGCATTCGATCTCTAAAAAAAGCAACTTTTCCGATAACCCAAAACGCCATGCCATGCGTCATCCGCAATAAACCATCCGCCCCTGAGGTCCCCTCAGAACCGGATATTGCGCTTGCGACCAGTGTACTTCGACGTAGCCTTGACGATCTTTCCCTTCCTCTCCATCTGTTCCTTCTTCTTGACAATCCAGGCTTTGCTGCCCTTCTTGATCTCTCCCTTGCCGCTCTGGTCGCTCGCCTTCCGCCTCGCGTCCTCGACGTCCACACCCTCCATGCCGTTGACAACGTTGGTGATGTCGCCTCCCTTGCCGCCCTCAGCCGTACCTCCGACCGTCAGAACCAGGTATAGCTTGACGTTCTTCGTCTCCGGGTCGTCCTCGAGCAGACCGGCGCCGAAACCAGCCTTCACCGCCGCCTGGGTAATCATGTTGCGCTGGGTGTCGTTCTTGGGGTAGAACTGGCACACGGCCCTTCCTCCACGACGTAATGACGCATACAGGCCGTTGAAGAAGCGGGTCAGGCGGCCCTCGGGGGATGTGTCGCTGCTCTCAGCGTTGCAGAGCCATTGAATAGCGGAAATGCTGATGGCAGCATCAAAGGAACCAGCGCGGAAGGGGACGCCCTGACCAATGTCGGCCAGCAGCAGGTCGCCCTCGACGTCTCTCTGTAGCGCAATATCGAGCATGGAGGGTGAGATGTCCATGCCGATCCAGGTGTGCGGGCCGCCGTCCTCCTCGCCCTCAGCGGAGAGGATCTCGCCAGAAAGACCGCTGCCACAGCCCACATCGAGGATCAGGGAGGGGCCCTTGAGATCGAGAAGCTCGAGGGCGCGACGGGTCATCGAGGCTTGAATGTTTTGGATACGGGAGCTCGTGGTGTATTTGCGCGCTTCGGTGTCATCGTAGTGGATGTCGGCCGCGCTGGAGGAGGTTAGTTGGATGGCGGGGTTCGGAGGGGAGATTGACGAACAGGGTATCCTCAGGACGCGACATGATGGGCTAGATGTTTCGGTCAATTGACGGTCTAGAGTATTATCAGGAGACAAGCAGCGGTCCGGAGGTCAGGGAAGCGGTTCGTGACGTCGGCGCATCGAGGTTGGGCGGTGAATTTTTGTGTCGTGGGAAACTTCAAAATTCGCAGGCTGCTGGGTGCGGATAGCTATCGATAAGATAACAAAGCTGGTGGGGTCGATAAGCCTCGATAAGATCAAGTCACGGTTGCTTACCTCATCCCGCGGTCATCCCGCCCCCGGATCATGAGCTGCTCCGAGACTCCAGCGCAAAGGCCACGCTTGCGAAATGGAACCCACCAAAAAAGTGTCCCTGTCTCCCCGTCCCGACGCGCCTCCCGTGGCCGTGCAGCATGCGCCTGGGCTTTAATTACACAATGTGAAGCTTCCCAGTTACAATTGCTCGCCACCAAACACCACCTTCGCCTTCTCCACGTTCTTTTTCTTTCTGTACCATATTCTTCTTTGAACACAACACAACACAGCCGTCAAGATGTGGATTCTACCTCTTGTTGGCTACCTAGGCTCCATCGTGGGCTTCTGCTTTCTGACCCTGGCCATCGGTTCGTAAACCAACCCCCGGGCTCTGTTCTCCGGGTCTCCCTTGGCAGCATCGCGGACTGACGTAGCTATTCCCACAGCCTCGGGTCTTTACTACCTCTCTGAACTCGTCGAGGAGCATACGGTTACCGCCAAGAAGCTGCTCACGAAGCTCATCTACTCGATCATGGCCTTGCAGCTCCTGCTATGCGTCGTCGACCGGTTCCCCTTCAAGCTGACCCTCATGGGCATCGTCTCCCACGTCGTGTACCTCGGCAACATGCGGCGTTTCCCCTTCGTGCAGCTGACTGACCCTCTGTTCCTGGCCTCGTGTGGTATGTCTTTCCCCAAAAGCTGCTTTCCTAGAAAGCCCAAGCTGACAGCAAGCTACAGTTCTCGTCCTCGTCAATCACTACCTCTGGTTCCGCCACTTCTCCGCCGCCCAGCAGCAATCCTACTCCAACATGCACTCCTACTACGACCAGCCCGACGTCCCGAGCTTCACCGAGATCGCCTCCTACTTTGGCCTCTGCGTCTGGATGGTCCCCTTCGCGCTCTTCGTGAGCTTGTCCGCGAGCGACAACGTGTTGCCTACAATGGGAAGCGAGGACCCCCTGCGGGATTCATCTGGCAAGAACAAGCGCCAGGGCTTCGTTAAGTCCATCGTCGATACGGTACTCGGTGCCATTGGACAGGTGTTCAGCGGAGTGGGCTGGGACAGGAGCTGATCGTGTCTTGCATGTGAAGAGGGGCGGGGCTTGGCTAGGGATAACTGCATCTGGAACATGTCGGCGCTGCCCGCATGCCATTTTGTCACGAAGCTGTCGGTTTATATAAAATAGATACCCGGAGACTTTCTCCAACTGGGCTCCTGTTTGCCCTCACTTGATGGCGCATGGGCACCCTCTTGTTGCAACTTGCAACGATTGAATGCTATCGGATGACTAGGCGTGGAACGAAAGCTGCGTGGTCTCAAGCATTGACACCAAATACGGTGCAGGTGTTTCCAGGGATATGGCTTACCAAAGACCAAGCTTGCTCCGACAGACGGTGGTCCTGATTCGAGACACGAGTCCTTTGGCGTGGATGACGTACCCGACGACGGCCCGGCCAGGGGCAGCGATCCAGCCCACCATAATCACAGAGTCCCACAAATAGAGCCACATTCCGGGTCCGAGTTCGGGGGTCCGGTCCATTCTCTCACAGTGAGACTAGAGCGCGGCACTCGAGCATCCACGATAGTACCGGTGAAGAGAGCACAACTCACGACAACATACAGCTTTCATGGAGCCCCATCGCCTGGGCTCTCCAAAGAACAGTGGCTGCAATGTATAATCGAGGGAAGACAGAGGGGGTAAGCAATAAGACGGGGCGATGCAAGGAGACATGCGGTAAATTTTGACTGACTACAGGCCTCATATTGGCCACCCAATCTGACGGAGGCTAGGTTCCCAGTTACCCCGCTGGCAACAGTATCGGTGCGTGTGTAGCCGTGCCAAACTATCCGGACGCTTCTCAGCATGTAGACATGATCAGCCATCGGTGGCCGACATTTCATCGAATAACAGAAGACGAGACGAGACAAGACTCAGCTTGCAGTACGTCGTGTCAGGCAACACTCCTTACCAGAGATTCGCTTTCTCGAATGGAGGAATAACATCCAATGGAAAACAGTCAGTGGTTGAGTCTCTACCTCTTTTGACGGTCGAAAATCAATTATTGATACGGAATCTTGGCTTTGTCGATATTGATAACGACTCCGACTTAAATGGCTTTCCGAATGGATCAATCGTCTCATGCTGCTTATTAGAAGAGGGAGGGACCGAGGAGATTACTCTCGTGCGGTTTGACGAGCTTAAAATTACTTAACAGTCGGCTTCTAGATACCTAGATCGTAAACTATAAGTGGGGTTTCGAGCCACATCGTAGCCAGGGTATGCACAAGTGATGTTGAAAAGGCGTAATCAAGGATGGATACTTAGATGTTAATGGAGAACCAGCTCATGCAGAGTCAATTGTAGAAATGGATGAAAACCACAGTCTAACCTGTGTCCTGCTTCATGTGTCCGGTCCTGCCAGTCGACGCGGTTATTGTAGTGAGCAGCAACAGAGGTCCGTAAGCGACTGCCTAATTTTCCTTTGTCTGCGCGCGTATAGATGGCTCTACCCTAGTAAGTCGCAACCTTCCGAGGTTGACAAGGAATCTGTCTAAACTCATGATGAAATGCACTAGAGCTGTCCAACGGCTGAAAGGATTCGCTCTGAGTCCGATGGCCCTCACAGGACATTGCTTCCGGGTTATCCTTCTTTACCAAGGCATCGGCAGTCCATGTCAGAATCTTCCAAGCCGCCTGGAGGAAGACTAGATCCGCAAGCAATATTGAGAAAAGTAATACCCCCCAGCTTTTTTGCTGAGGAACAGAGCAAAGGTATTGGTCAACAATGGTGGCATTTTTGCAGCCCAAGGGTCCCATAAGAGAATGGAACTTATCGAATGAGTCTTTGAGATCTGTCAGATGTTTATCTGTGCTATTAGGCACAGGGCTAGGAATCCGGTTGAAACGTTCTATTCCATCTGGAGCAGAAGCGGATCCATTCAGGAGGCCCCCAGGCGCTCGATTCGAGTCATTTGGTGCCAGAATTGCGTACTCCAGGCCATTGTCATCAAGCAGAAGACTTGGCGACTGGCAATTACCCAGATCCAGGGAAAGAAGAGAATACAAGATCTTGGTGCAGTGGAGTCCTTCTGTTAATGACGGCGAGACATAAAACTGTGTTATATTAATTTCAGCTGCATAGTTCCATTACAAGGAAAAGCCATTCATAAAAAGCATAAAGTCGCTCCTTACATTAGAGTTGTAGTCGTGATAACCTTCGTCATCTTCTAGATCGTTTTTACTCGGCCCCGAGCTGTCATCGTTTCCCGTCCACCAGTACAGGTTGAAGAATTTGTCGTCTTGAATGCTTCATCAAAGTCAACAGCGTTCAGCAAGTAGCGGACGAATTAAACTCACTCTGTTTCAAATGGGTCCAATGTATAATATAAATGAGCTCGGACGACATATTTCTTTCCGTCTCTTACCTTTGTCATGCGGGATGCCGTAACTAGCACCCCATTCCAATAGGCGTTGAGTAATCTGGTTCCCCACCAAACGCTGGCATGTGTCTTGTAATCATCTTCTATAGCATAGCTATAGATCTCGTCCCCTGAAACCCTGTATTCGTTCGTGACCGTCATAGTCATCAGGCCGTCATCAGTTGCAATAGTACAATTGAATGTCGCCAGTATGGATGAATCTATCCATGAAAGCAATCTTGAAGGCGCAGGTGGAGCCGCAGTGTCGGACTTTCTCAACTGAAGGAAGAAAGATTCCTTCGGCATACAGTTCTGAAGGGTGTTGTTCTTGTAACCAATTGTGGACAAGGAGGTTCTGGCCGGGTCTGTAATCGCTTTGATAGTGTATCGGAAGCCGAGGTTTGTGGTGAAGAAGGAATCTCCAACGGACAACAGATGCGGTTGGCATTCTGTCTGCACATCACTCTGCCAATTGAATGGACGCTGCCTGAACCATCTTTGAAGATATTTTAGTCTGCATCTGATCAGACAGAATTGGTATATTGACATACTGTGCATTTGCATGGGCTTCAGTGCTGTTGGGGTCGGACGTGTAGACAGTCTTCAGGTAAAAGCCGTTCGCGCTCAGGTTGAGCAACGAAAGTAAGACTGCAAGAACAAGACCGCCTACCAAGGCGACGGGTGTGAACCACCTGAAAGGGTACGGCTTGGAGATTGGATACGAAAATCGCGAGTTATGCATCTTTCCTGTGTGACATCAACTTCATAACACGCCCAACAGCTTTAAAAGAGGATGTTTCTTAAAGATAAGTAGTTGAGCTGTGACTCAGCATTTAGAAGATGGCAATGCACATTAAATACTTAAAATGCCGCTGTTTTGGTGCGACACCTTCTGAGACTGTAGCACCTCTACCTGCAGTGTTTCTTTGTGTGTATCAGTAAGCAGAGCGGGCTTGGTTGATGGATGAAGGTGAATGGAGGCAGAGAAGCCTGTGCATCTATTATCGTCAGCGGCTCCGCGAGAGCTGACTACTTGTCTGCCATCCCGCCCCGTCTCCCTGCCAAGCACCGCCCAGTGCTGCCGAAAGAGGAAGTTACTCAACAACGCATTCAACCAACTGAAACAAGGAGAGGCCATCGCCGCCACTCAATCATAAACTCGACACCCCTAGATTGACTTGAAAAATTTGGTGTCTTAGCTAATATGACAGGCTGTAGATCAACCTCCGCAGTTATTTAGGCATGCCCAGCCACTGAAATGTGACATCATCGCCAACCCATCGATCATTACTTAATTAAATAAGGTACTTGGTAGAAACCCTTTCCATTGCCGGCTCCAGTCGGGTCGTGTTGGGGCTAGCCAGGCAGGGCGGCACAACACTGATTGAAATACCTCCAACTTTCACTCACTCGCACACAACTCTTCCAGGCTGAGACCTTCACACGAGATATTGTCGGCTATGCTCGGTACCAGGGTAAGACATCTAAGTACCTATCAAGAGCGTTAGCTTCAATGGCTGTCGCATCACGCCTCGCCTGACTTCTAATGGACGTGTATCAATGGATTGTGGTTCGTTGGAATACAACTAAAATACAGCGAGTGACGATATTCCAAGTTCCTACATTTTGTTTCACGCATGCTTGCTGTCTCCTATTTCCAAAGGAATGTCGTAAATGCTACTAGCGAATGAGTGACGTTGGTATTTGCCGCCGAACATAAAGTGCTTCGAACCGGGATGTGAGACCTTCCACTCATTTGCAAATTTGGTGGTCATGATATCGACTCAGCATTAGCGGCGCTTGGCAACACCGTGCCGCTTGAGGAATTCAACCCGTTCCTGGCGGTCGGTGAGAGCCTCGTATGCAGGAGCATGCTCGGAGTCACGAGATAGCTTCCAGACATGGGTGGCATCACGGACGGCATAAGCCGTGTGCTGAGTCTGACGCCAGCCCTCCGAACGCTTAGCCTTCTTGTTCTTCTGGATCCAAGTTTCCTTCTTGGGGGACACGTCGCGAGCGTGGCGGCGACCGTGATCACCGCCGCCATCATCCTCGCCGTCCTCATCACCATCAGTCGGCTCCTCGTCGGTGCTGGGATCCTCATCGCCGCCCTCTTCGCCGAGGGCGCCGGCGGCAGAGCCCTGCGGGATATCAGTGGTAGCGCAAGTGTCGTCCCTGGCCAGCTGAAGACCGCAGCGATTCTCCGAGTCCGGGGCCTGGCCCTGGTCTAGTCCATACAGAACAACGCCGCCCTGGTCGTCGCTGGCCTGGGCGGAACTGTACAGGGTGTTGACAGCGCCATTGCAGCAGTCGCCAACGACTTGCTCCTCACAGACGATGCTGATCTCCTCATCTGGGCAGTCAGAGTCTTCATTCAAGTAGATATCGAAGGCGAAGGCGCGGTGGCCAAGCAGGAGAAGAGAGGCAAAGATGGCAAGAGTGTTGGTACGCATGATGGCGGTTCAGGCTTAGATGTGATACTAGGTTGTATAAAGGGGGAAGAGAACTTGTGTGCTAATGTAGAGGTGTTCGTGTCTGATGAGGAACGGAAAGATAGACTTACTGCCATGATTCTGGGTTTCCTTTATACTTTGCGATGCCATCGTGGAAGCGCTTGAATGTTGTTGCTGTTGAGCTCCGGACGTACTGGGCGACACGAAACAGAACAGTTTCTGGTTTTGGGAAGTTGCTGACAACCAAGTGACGATTTGTGACGGGATCATAAGCTGCGATTGAAGAGATCGTCACGAACAGCTGACGTTTTTGCTGACAACAGCCCGGTACAAAGGAATACGGCCTTTAGTCCCTGGGTGAAATTGTTAAAGCAACTGTAAAGAACTTTTGGTGATGCTACCGTAAGTTGGAGTGCTTTTCGGAGGTTGTTGCTGCAGCTACAACTGCGGCTCTGAGGCCGTGTACAAATACAGGCTGTAGATCCTTGCACTATCACAATCCCTTAAATAGTCAACGTGCAGACAAAGTCGGGCGTCGGGCGAAGATGGGACGCCGGAGGCTGTGACAATGGTGTTGTGGTAAGAGGATTTGTGACAATGCAACTCTAGACTCTCAAACTTTCCCGATTGCGAAGAGCTGTGATTGGGGGCGAGGCAGTGTTTTGAAGGCAGCCGCCAAGACACCAAGGAATATCTCAATGACAAGATGTGCCGGCTTCTTGCAGGAGCCGCTTCATAGTCTCCAATATTCTCCGAAAAACGTGTAGGTCGCAAGTTTGTGATTCGTCCGGAAGACGTAATCAAGTAGCTGATTGGTTACGACTCCGCAGGACGGTCCGGCGCCGCCGCATGGCACTTCATGGGACTTTGGTTTTATCAGCCGGAAGTAGACTCATCGAACGGCTCGCGCCCGGTGTGGTCCACCTGTCAGACCGGTACAGACACGATATGATGATCTATCAAAGTCCCGAGTTGGGCTGAAAATTCTTGGCCTGCGTCCTGTCGATCAATTCTGAATAAGGATCACTGATGATACGGAAAAGGTGACCAAACGTTGATCTACTTCCGTTTAGGACTGAAGGCCTGGTCCCACAATTGACTTTGATCCCTTTTGGGATCATCTATACATAGAATGAGTAAAACTCTTTTGCGCTTCAACTTCTCATCTTGACAAATTCATTACATCTGGAATACTTCATAGCTTCAAAGATGCTACCCAAAAGGTACCCGAAGTCACGATACAATATTTAGAAGTTCATCTAACCCTCTGTGTATCCGAAATACGTTGCCATCGCAACATGAGTCGCACCAAAAGTCTGCTGGCTGTACCAACATGGTCTCATCTCGATCTTCTTCAGGTGTCAGGAATTATCACGGACACGTCGGATGACTGAAGTCAGCTCAGGGTTGAATTCCGGCTCACCGAGGGTAATGATTTGCGTAGTGTCTAATCGAATAGAGACTCAACTTTCTACTCGTATCTTGTGAATTGTACTTTGGTAAAGTGATTGCGTGTTCTTTCATTGAATTTAGAGCCAGCGCGTTGATATGCGGGAATTCACACTACATACCTCCTATAGGCTATCTGTGATGTTGTCATTATCTCCTCTGAATACCGCCGCCAAATAGCCCGAAATAATCAGCAAAGTATATAATGCTTTGATATTCTCGTATAGCGTTCACTTTAATTCTTGATTAAGCCTTCTTACCAGATTCCTAATTAATAATTCATTAAACACCTGCATCAAAGGGCCAGTTTTACTTTCAAGTCCTCAAACTACTTCACCAATTCAACATGATGTTCTCCAACGCCAACCTTGCCATGGCCCTGGCCACTACCCTCAACTTCTTCCGTACCGCCGCTGCCGGGAACCTCTGCCTGTCCTACACGTACCAAGTCCAGGGCGGCAACGGCGCACACGACTGGCGAACCTTCGCGGCCGGCACGCCGTGTGATACCACCAACGTATTCGACGAGGATATCTGCTCGTCGCTGCCGGCGAGTGATAACATTTGCGACGTTGACTACACTCTTGTCTCAGCTGAGGATGACACCATTGACGATGCCGACTGCAGCATCGCCATTGAGATTGACGGCACCGTCTACCACGGACGTCTGTCGGATGGCGGCCTGGACGGCAGCGAGTATGGTGCCGATTGTGGATTCCCGCCGCGCGAGTTCAAGAGCAACTACATCTTTGAGAATGTGCCCATGTGCGATTAAGGATTCATAAGGTCTTGAGATGGGCCGGAACGGACTTTGACGACAGATGACACCTACGGCTAGTCAAGGGGATTGCACAAGTGTCAGAGAATTCGAACAGCGTGGGTTGATGTATACCAGAGCCAGTCATTACCACATATCTCCTAGTCATATACACTCGTTGATTGTCTCATTCCACCTTGAATTGAATTACAAAATCACCAAAGTGACGCCCCATCAAGGCATGCGAACGGCTGCTAGCTAACTGTCTCCGCCTTCCCCGTTTTCGCTACGTAACAGAATTTGAGTCAAGAGTGAACTTTGTATGTCTACCGCCCACGGACTTTAGCAGGTCTTCATGCCAGCCGGTGCGGGTGGGATACCGGTGATGCCTATGTCCGAGGTCGGAGGGTCTCTTCGGCCTTCACGTAATTGATTTCAAAAGCAACGAATCAAGTCAAATACTTCACTCTTCACTATTTATATTCTCAGCCAAGTACTAGTAGCTTACCAAATGACAACAGCTGAAACTTGAAGATGTCGGCTTCAGGACTGAAAAGCACGTCTGGACTTCACATAGTACGAAACAAGACTTTTCAATATCTACATCATTTTTCCTGTCAACCTTGCCTTCACCACCGTACTTATGAACGAACTCAACTCCATCCTGGCAGGCTCCAGTATCCAGGAACGAAACGACCCAAGATTCCATTGGTGAGTCTCCGGACCTGCTCCACTGTCCTGGCGCCGACGGCCATCGGCTTATGACTCGCCACCGTAACGGCCTGGACTTCTGCTTTCGCAGGCAAGAAGGCCATCTCCGCCATCGCCGCGCCCAAGTCTCCATATGAAGCTGATGCAGCCGGCTCGTCAATGCTAACCGTATAGCCCGAATATTCCCCCTCGAAAAGAAAAGGGGCATGGAACAAGGTGACCGTGACCAGCGATGAAGAGATGAGCTTCTTCTCCGCTGTGGCTAGGTCAAAGTAGATGTGATTCAAGGAGGCCATGATCAACCAATGTACCCACGCTGGTCGGTGTGATGATAGCCTCTCGCTTATGGACTCGGATGAAAGGAACGTCATGTGCGGTCGCCGCCACGTTCCTCTCGTTTCCGCCTTCTCGTGCAACTCGCTCAATGCTGCGAGAATTGCTTCAACTGCGTCGCGGTGCATCCGCATCCCGGGTTGGTTGTCGTTGCTGCCGATGGTGCACATAATTTGTGTTGCGCCCGACAGGCAGTGGACCATGAGGGCGTGGTTGCTGAGCTGGCCCTCGGTGATCTCCACATGGGAGTAGCTTTCAATGCCGGGGAACAGTAGCTTGAGCTTGCGCGCTGACCGGACGAAGAGATGGATCTGGGTTGATTTGTTCACGTGTGATAGAAGTGATTTCAAGACTGCGCTGCCGGTGCTGCCGGTGCAACCAAAGAAGGCGAGCTTTTGAACCTCTGCTGGGGCCATGTTGACGATGTTGTCTGACTTGAGTATTTGAGAAATTCGAAGGACGAGAATTACTACGTTAGATTAGACTGTGGAAGAAGGCTTTGCTACACACTAAGCATATATACACCTCGACAAGATCATCTCATCCCCCAGCCGGTCAATGAAGGACCCCGAAGAACCGGAACTTGATCCCATCAACGGCAGCTTCGGAATACCGATAAACGCGATCAATAAGCGAATCGATGACTCGCAAGACGACAGCTGCAGAGAAAGCAAAGGCTCTATTTGCCATTGGGCGTCTCAGGTCACTGACCCATAAGAGTCCTTGGCATCAGGTTCGCGTCGCGGGTGTAGTCGAAGTCCAGTGGGAGCCGGCCGCGTCGGATGAACATGGAGATTTATTTGTCTGAGGCCCCGATCGGATCCCAGACTTCGGCCTCGGTCGAGGAGTTCTTAAACGCCCGTAATTGGCCCTGGAATCGTTCATGGATCCGCTGTAAAAGTGAGCATGTCAAAGATCCATGGTATCGCAATCGTGGAAATAATTGAAAGCGTAGTATACGAGCTCAAGGGCAATCACTAAAACGCGCCATGAAGTGTACTGAGCTCGGTATCATTAGATAGGCAGTTCTTTAGCGATCCATTGTCAACAAAATATTTTCCAAAATGCAAAAGACACCAAACCTGAGAATCACAAGCGTTAGCCTGCTTCTCTTGCTGCAGAACTCTGCAGCACTCTCCGCTGCTGTGGGTGCAAAGCCCTGGCTAGAGTGTCGCCGAATGCCACCTTCCAGCCAGGGTCTGCAGTTTACGGCTTCAATACACGTAAATCCTCGAAAGTCGCTTTCATTTGCATGCAACTTGGTAAACTGATTCTCTACGATGTAAAGATTCTCAACCCTGGCTGTATCTTCATCCCTACCTCAGCTCAACAGGTTACCATAGCTATAAGCGCAATCAAGTCCGTCAATGGCTCCTTCGCTGTCAGAGGCGGTGGTCACACGGCCATTCCGGGGGCGAATAGTATTGGCAGAGATATACTCATCGCCTTCTCCAACATGACACGAATGGAACTCTCCGCTGAATGCAGCCACGTCCGGGTCGGTCCAGGGCTGCGTTGGGGAGAGGTTTACAACGCCCTGGAGCCATACGATCTCACCGTCGCCGGCGGCCGCGTAGCGCCTGTTGGCGTGTCTGGGCTATTGTTGGCTGGCGGAATAGGCTTTTACAACAACAAGTACGGCTTCTCAGCCAACATGGTCAGCAGCTATGAGGTTGTCGTCGCTGATGGAAGGTTCGTGAACGTGACTTCTTCCAGTAAGTATAGTGACCTCCTCTGGGCGGTGAGCATCCTCCGAGAAACCCGCGGCAGAAGTCAAAGCTGATAGTACTCTCAATTGAAAGGAGGCGGCTCCAACTTTGGACTCGTCACATCATTCGAGCTTCAGACCATACCTAGTTCAAGAGTCTTTGCGGGCGTTCTGTGATTCAAGTCTTCGCAATTCGAAGCCTTCTTCAAGGCTGTCGCTGCATACTCCGCGGACATCTTCGACGCAAAGTCACGCATTATCCACACGGTAGGGTTTGCCAGAGACGACGTCACAGACAATATCTCCACCTTCGCGTATGTCGTGTTATTCTACGACGATCCGGATGAGGCGGAGCCTGCGATCTTCCGCCGTTTTCTCGAGATATCCAATGTTGGCAACACGCAGAGCCACCAGACTGTCACAAATTCCGCTTTCGAGACTGGAAAGTCAGTCATGGATGGCCCGAGTGATATGCTTACCGGTGGAACGATCGCGTCAACGGATTTTGAAGGACTGCTTGCCGGCGTTCAGCTCATCAGCGAGATCTTCGAAGAAGCGGTAAGATCGATCCAGGCATAAGTTCCTGCGAGCACCTTCGCATCCACGGAGGTGTACTTTCAGCCCCTGGGCCGAGATTTCATCATCGCTTCACAAAATAACGGTGAAGGTGGAGGGCCCCTGTCGCTGGACGTGTCCCAGGGCACCTATGTCGTCTACGCTATTGCGTTGACCTGGGTCAACTCTCGGCACGACGAAGTCATTTCCGCCTGGATGGAGAAAACAGTCCAAGCAACCGACAGCGCCACGGCTGAGGCGGGCCTTCACCATCCTTTCAGGTACATGGGCGATTCCACCGCTTTCCAGGTTGCTGAGTTCTTCAACAGCTATCCTCGCGGTGCTGCAGAGCAACTTAGCGATGTCGCACTGAAATACGATCCTGATGGATTCTTTCAGAACAACATGCCGGGTGGTTTCAAGCTATCCGCCTCGAAGATTTCCAGCAATGACGATGCGGTAGGTGTTGACGGAAGTGAGCCCTACGACGCCAGTGTGTTGGTGAATTTGGTCGTAAGGGAAGAGCCTTGAGGATACGTCTTCATGATATCAAGGCTAAAAAAGTAGTCATCTCAAAAAGACCGCCCGCCATACGCGAATGAAATATAGGAGACGTAAGATGCCAAGCCAACATCGACCAAAATCCCCATCACCGTCAGCAAAAAGACCCTGCGTAAGCGAGACCCTTTTCAGACAACCAGCCAGTGAACATCTTAGAAATCAATTGCCCCTAAAATGCAGTGCTGCTGGCAACACCCGCTCGCCGATGCGCCTGAAGCGTGGTCTTTTTAGCAGCAATCACCCCTGTCGACCATGTGCCCCCTTTCCCAGAGACTTTGGTGCCTGCACTAGCCTACGGCTCCAGGGGACTTTTTACACATGTCGGGTTCTTTTGGACATTCGAAATACTGCCTACCAAAAAGACCGCTTGAGGATGGCTTTTGGAGAGGGTGGAACATGGGTATTTTTGATGACGACGCTTGCATTTGGAAATGGGTTGGGAATGTTTTCGCTGTTTGACAGAGGACATGATTTTGTATTTTTGTCCGCGTGAGGAAAGAACCGCAAAAATACCCATGTGGGGAGCGTGTGGTGGCGGAGGAGTTTGACTCCTCGTCACTGAGGATTGACGCTCCTCGGCGCATGAGGATCGCGACCACCGCGGCGGTCTTTTTACGACCTTTCGAATGCCTGTGAGGATTTGGAAATGGTGTATAAGAGATCGATGAAGGCCAAGGAAAAAAGCTTCTAGTCTTCAATCTCTCATTCACTACTCCCATCAGATATCGATAGAGCCAGATCATCTACAATTTTGGCCGTCGCTTGAGACCCATCCCATTACTTGCATCCGTCGCAAAGATGTCTTCCCAACAGCCCAACCAATACACCACCCAATACGTCTCCGTCCCGCGCCAGCACCAAGGTCAGACGACGACACATTTCACATATCAACACCAAGGCGGCTCGGCTACGCTGAACACCTGGCTCTCCCAGGACGAGTCCGTGAGTCCGTACCACAACATCGGGGCCTACCGGCCGGTCACCGGCTCCGGAAGTGGGGCCAACGCATGGGGCGCGGCACCGGGTAGCAATGGAGCTACGCGGGGCAGCGGCCAGGGCCGCAGGAACTGATCCTGGCAAGAGAGCTTACGAAATTGACGAATGATGTATGAGAGAAAGGTTTTTTGATCGCTCAGAGGATCACATCGGAGCATGGGGGCTAGCATGGAGCAAGGCGCGGGATGCGGGATGCGGGACATGCGGCATATGCGGCCGCCGTGGGGCCGCACGCTTGGGGGAGGCAACTGGAGACCAACAAATTTTGGCGTTATCGGGAGTCTTTTAGAGATAATACAAGGATCGTTTTCAATCTTACCCGAGTTATTTGTGCTCACAGGCAGGCTTCCTCAGAATTGTGAAGTGGTAACGCCGAAACAGCAGCAACTTAGGTGTTGCCGCCGCTTATGGCCGCTAACTCCGCATGCTTCGACAATGAGCCATAGAGACCAACCACTCAAAACTGAGCAGACCCGAAAGACCTATCCACCTTGCAGCGCCACAAGACTTTGCGATGTGGATAGCGATGCTGTCTGAGCGTTTTCCGAGATGTGGATAGGAGCCATGATACGACATGCCATATGTAAGACCATCGCAGACGATGGACTGGGATGGGTATAAAGAGACAGCCAAGATCGACTGATTGAAAGCAAAGAGACATCACCAGGTTGTTCATCTGCATCTCAAGTCACTGCGCCAACTTACACTTCACAGACCTACCTTGGCCTCATCACCACTTACACCATGGCACCGACCTACGACAACACCACACGCGCCAGCGAGCTGGTGCCCACTTATGCTCCTTACATCGCCGGAAAGACTATGCTCATCACCGGCGTCTCTCCTGGGAGCCTCGGTGAAGCATTCGTGAAGCAGGTGGCAGTCGCCAAGCCATCGACTTTCATCCTCGCAGGTCGCAACCTATCCAAGTCCCAACCGCTCATCAACTTCCTCACTTCATCGCACCCGGACATCACCGTGAAGCCACTCACCTTGGACCTCACCTCCTTCGCCCAAGTCCGCGAGGCCGCGTCCCTCGTCAACTCCTGGCCAGACGTCCCTCACATCGACCTGTTAGTAAACAACGCCGGTATCATGGCCGGCCCGTACGCCCTCACCGAAGACGGCTTCGAGTCGCAGTTCCAAACAAACTACCTCTCACACTTCCTCCTCACAAACCTCCTCATGCCCAAGATCCTCGCCTCCCCGGACCCGCGCATCATCAACATCAGCAGCGGCGCGCACCGCCTCGGGCACATCCGCTGGACGGACTACGCCTTCGACAACGGCGCCAACTACGACTGCTGGGCGGCGTACGGGCAGTCGAAGACGGCCACCAGCCTGTTCGCGGTCGCGCTGGCCGGCAAGCTCGGGGCGTCGCGGGGCCTGCATGCGTTCAGTCTGTGCCCGGGCTTCGTGAACACGAACCTCCTCAGCGCGGCGCACGGGGCGGACGACATCCCCGCGCTGCTGGAAGGTTTGAGGCGGGTGGACGCGGTGATGGGCACAAAGTATCTCTGGGGCATGGGCGGCATCGCGCCCAAGGATATGGACCAGGGGGTCGCGACGCATGTTTATGCGGCTTTTGACCAGGAGCTGAAGCAGGAGAGGAACGGGGAGTACCTCAACCACTGCCGCGTCGCGGATCCGTATGAGGAGGAGGTGTACTGCTGGGCGACGAGTAAGGTTGACGCGGACATGCTGTGGAGGTTGAGTGAGAAGCTTGTTGGGCAGGAGTTTGGATATTGAAGCGGGCAAGTCGGAGAGGTCGGCACGGCCCTTTTGGAAACGGTCAAGTTGGCGTGCAGACAGATGTAGTTTCACGGCGGCTGCATCGTTGGTGAAGCACTTCTGAGATGAGAAATGAAGTCATTGTTGGCGTTGATGGACGTGCGCGGGTGAAGACAAGTGAACGAGTGATGTTGTGTTGGGAGAGACAGAGGCACAGCGAGGAGCTCGAAAGTCGGAGACCGAAGCACTCGCCACAGCTGTATCCCACCAGCCACAGATCTGCACCAGCCACAGCATCCGCCCGATCTAGAACAACATTAGTCATTCGTGGCTTTCCCCGGTCTGCACCGCCACAGCCATCCCCCAATTTCCACTTAATTGTTCTAAAAAGACTCCGCCCATCTTCCAACTTGCACAAGTGGCGAATTCCAAGCCCAAGTCCCAAATACCGGCACGGCACCGTTGTCCCTTGGCGCTCGGTTTCTCGCTCCTCAACAGCTCCTTCATTCGCTCAAAATGCCAGCCATCGGACGGATGATTGGGCAACGAGTGGCCTCCGACGCGTACGCCTCGTCATGCGAACCGTTTCCTGCGCCTACTGCCTGGTACAGGACAGAGACAGACACACACACACATACAGAGCAGAGAGAGAGGGACGACTCAAGTGCTAGTCAAGCCAAGCGGGTGCTGCGGAGAGCAAAAATGAGGCTGTGCAACGCCGGACAGCCGACGTCATTCGTCCGACATGCCCAACATCAGCTCGTTTGGGTCTCACGTCCCCCCTCCATCCCCGAAAGTCTGTGGCTTTGCCCTTGCGCAGGACATGGATGAGCTTCGGTCTCCCCACGTCTTCATTGATGTTTCCCGGGATTGTTCAGTGTCAATCTCGGATGTTTGCTGGGCCTCTGCCGAGTGGCAGGATTGACGGCACCTTATTGTATGCACAAAGGGCCTGAACATACGCCTACAGGCTGCCTCAAGCCAAGCAATATCCATGGAGGAGAGAAATGCTAATCGCTGCATATTCCTGCCACCGCACCAGAGGTGGCAACCTGGTAGGCGAAGCTTTTGCTTTTCTCCACGTTGCCGGTTGGCCACTGGTATGTCATGGGAGCTTACGACGCCAGCCTTGCGACGACTGAGAGGCCAGATCCAGGCACCCGTTCATAGCCATTGGAGAGGTGCGCCCCCAACCTGGCACATGTGATGTTCGGTCCAGACGCAAGTGTCTCTGGGCTGCGTAATTATACATAAGCTTAAGCTAGGCATTCTCCATCATAAACCGGCTTCTCTCTTTAAAAGGCTTGCTGCCGCTTTCTACTCTCAGACCTGCGGCGCTTTTGCTCTACGAAACTGCTTCTTACACACATACGCACACTCTCCCCATACGCATCGCTTCTAACATACATCGTTGCATGACACTTATGGGATCATTGTACGAAGAATCTCCAGCAGGCCGTGACTATCGCTCAGCAGCTAACGCCTCCTTCAGGCCCGAACGCGAAATGGCTCCGACCATCGACTCGGCGCTGGGGACGGCGGACATGGCCAATGAGCAGCGCGGCCTGCTCGAGCTCATCGACAAGCTGCAGTTCGCCCAGCTCGACAATGTCAAGCTGCCGCAAATCGTCGTCGTCGGCGACCAGTCTGCCGGCAAGAGTTCCGTCCTCGAAGCCATCACGGGGACGCCATTTCCTCGCGATGCTGGCGCATGCACGCGCTTCGCGACCGAGATCCGACTGAGGCGGTCCGCCGAGGCGACACTCAATGTCTCCATCATTCCCGACAAGAACCGCAATTTCAGGGAGCAGGAGAGGTTAAAACAGTTTGGCGGCGCGGTGGACACCGACATGTCGTTTGAGTCGCTCATGAGGTCGGCCGTGGAGCTGATCGCACCCAAGAACATCCCCGGCCGCTTTGCCGCCCGCGATATCTTGGTGGTAGAGAAGCGCGGGCCGGACATGCCTCTCCTCACACTGGTCGATCTTCCCGGTCTCGTCAAGAACGCCAACAACGACCAGTCGATGGACGACATCAAGACCATCGAGACGCTCTGCGACCGCTACATGAAGTCCTCACGCACCATCATCCTCGCTGTCGTCGGCGGAAACACCGACTACGTCCAGGCGCCCATCCTCACCAAGGCGCGCCATTTCGACCCCTCCGGCAGCCGCACAATTGGCGTCCTCACCAAGCCCGACCTCTGCGAGTCCATCGGCCTCGAAGACAAGTTCATCGAGCTCGTTCAGAACAAGGACAAGCAGAACTACTTCAAGCTCGGCTGGTATGTCCTGCTCAACCCAGGCCCCCGCGACGCAGGCCAGCCGTGGCCCTCCGCCCGCGAGCGCAGGCAGCGCGAGGAGGAATTCTTCGGCCGCGGCAAGTGGCGCGCTCTCCCCGGGTCGATGTGCGGCGCCGGCGCGCTCAAGCAGAAGCTCTCCGTCCAGCTACAGCGCCACATCGGCCGCCACGTCAAGACGCTGCGCAAGCAGATCCAGAATGCCCTCGACGACTGCGACGCCGAGCTCAAGAGCATGGGCACCGGCAAGGACACCGTCGAGGAAATGCGCATCGAGCTCGTCGAGCTCTTCTCCGCGTCCAAGGAGCTTGTCATCCCCGCTGTGTACGGCTTCTACAAGAACCCGCCCGGCAAGAACTTCTTCCGCGCAACCGCCGACCCGCGCGGCACGCCCGCCCAGAACCTGCGCGCCCGCGCCATCGAGGAGAATGAGAAGTTCTCGCACCGCATCCGCCAGAACGGGCGCAAGTTCGGCTTCGCCTCGTCCACGGACCCGCGCTCGCCGACGGGCCCCGACGGCAGCGTGACCGTCTCCGACAGCGGCAAGCGCGACTTCGTAACCAAGGAGGTCGAGATGCTGCTGCGGCAGATCCGCGGCTCCGAGTTTCCGATGGATCCGAAGCCGCGCGCCGTGTACATGCTCTTCCAGAGCTACTCGGAGAACTGGCCGCGGCTGGCGCAGGAGCACAAGGACAACCTTGGCGTGGTGTGCAACGAGTTCCTGAGCGAGGTCATCGACTTCGCGTGGCCCGGGCGCATGCACGATCCCCTGCGCTACAAATTCCTCGACCCGCAGGTGAAGAAGCTGATGGCGAGCGCGCAGGAGGAGCTCGAGCGCCTGACGCAGGACATGAACCTTGAGATCCAGCCGTACGACCCCGAGTACGAGGAGCGGCTGCGCAAGTGGCAGCTGGAGGCGACCAAGGACGGCGGGCGGTACACGGAGGCGCAGGAGGTGTGTGAGAAGATGTTGATCTTTTACGAGCTCGCGGCCAAGACGTTCATCCGCAACACGATCACGCAGGTTGTGGAGCGGCACTTGCTG